TTTCGTTTTTCCACACACGATCTGCGATCTGCTGTCATTATATATCCATTTTTCATTGGATTACCACATGACTGGCAAAAGCTGCAAGTAATTTGAGTGGCTCACAAGCAAAACAAAAAATGTTTGATTAGAACTTGTTTGATCACAAGCGGCGGTTCGTTTGAGTTAACTTTTTCGTTAAGAACTTTTATGGTCTTATAATTGTCTTATGCTTGAAGGAAACTAGTATTATCAGTCGCATGTGTAAGCAAACTGTTTTACGAGGGATTGGAACAGAAAAGAATGCTTTTTTATATGAGGTAGAAGTGTGGAAAGCAGTACAATTAATGATTAAATATGAGGTTTGCTATACAAAACCCTATAAATTAAATATAATTTGCCGTCTTCGATTAACTTTATTGAAACTACCTACTTAGGCACTTCGTTCTATTTACCTCTCAATAGTACTTAAAATTCCTACCATTTTAAGCTATTTTGCTGCTTAAATTAAATTCCATATAATACCTATGACAACCCTTTGTCAACCTTCAATGAGTCACCTCGAAATGGGACCAATTCCGAGTTTTGCCAAGCCAACTGGAATTGCAATCCAGCTGTGCGAAGGTTTTTTAATTGATTGAACGTGCGTTTCATGCCAAACGATTCGCATGCGTTGCGCCAATTTTCGCCATACGAAATGCGAAATGCGGTATCCGTATCCGTAGATAGAGCTCACTTAATGCCCACTAACCGCCTAAATCGAGCCACTAACCGCCAAGTCTGGCCGTATCTGAATGTCTTTGGAGTGTTATCAGGCGATCAATTGCCTTCGGCATGGCGATCGATCAACGGACGTGTCGCCGGGACTAATGAACATTTGTAAGCCAAAAATAAACGATAGACAAAACGACAGAACTGAAAACTAGCCGCAACATTGACTTGATTTTGAGGGGACTTAAATCACTTGCTTTCATAGTATTTATTTGCCTCTGAAAACAAACTTCTTAAAGAATTTACGACTTAGACTCGCGATTCAAGTTGAAATTTTATTACATTTTCATTGATTTTTTGTGTTTGTGCAACGTACGAAAGTCGAAAATTGAAATTGAAAATAACTTGAATAATTGCACGCCAGCAGCGGGAAAAGGCGTAAATGGAATCGAATGGAGTGAAATGGAATTGAATGAATTCCCGCGGAGAATCAATTTATATATATGTATATATATATATCATAAATATGCTGTTTGTATGTCTAGTTGAAATCCGGAGAATTCTTGTTTCAATTTGGCGCTGCTTCTTGTGAGTTTGTTTGTTCGCTTTTTTTGAGGAAGCGCAACCGCCAGTAGTAATTGAAACCCATAATTATAGCAGTCTCCGCAGCATACACATATGTGTACCCAAATACGGTTGACATAACTCTCAATTGATATCTCAATTCGAGGGAAAGATCGTCATTGGGCGTGACTAACCGCTTAATTATGTTTAAATGTTTAAATGATTCGAATGCGGCGCATTTTTGGCATGCCCATTAAGTTGATGTTGCTATTTGTTGCTGCCGGTGTTTAACATGCTGTCTCCGCCTGTCACTCTATATATGCCCGTCTCTTTCTTTCCCCCCTGTTGCCGTCTCATTTCTCTGATTGACAACCTGGACATTCGGAATATTTGTTCGGGATCTCCTGATTATCGCAAATGTCACTTTTGATTAGCAAACGACGACGATGATCGCAATTTGCCTGCAAGTTGAAGAAAAACGATTTAAATGTTGATCATTGGAATTGACTTTGATGGATAGCAAAATTCAAGGATGTAAGATGTCGGAATTAACTGGATTTTAAGGAGAATAAAATATTTTAAATAAGTTTATCTTATGGCCAAAAGTTTTTGAATTTATACTTAATAATATAAATCAATATATATGGATCTATCAGACCACTAACGAAATTATATGGTTTTTCCTATATAAACTTATAAACTTTTAAAAATACTGAAAGATATTTTTAAGATTTATATACTAAAATCATTAAAGTATAGATTTATTTTAAAATTGAAAAGGAACTGAAAAATTTCTCAAGAATGCTAATATTTGTATATGCTTTAAAGGTTTTTCTTCACCATTTTTCCACTGTCCACCAAGAAAAATTAAGTTCACTTAACTCAACACTTTGAAGCAGCTAAATATCTTTAAGATATAAATCTTTTATCCTGCTCAAAGTATCAGTTGATCCCGATCTATGCAAATTTGTTAGCCAACAGCTTTAATTGTTGAGTGCTCACAACCAGTATCGTTATCTGCGATCATAATGACACACTAATTGCGCTATCTGCCATCGTAAGTTGTTGGAGATTCACAATTTTGCATGGCCAGTCACGCCGAACCGCAGAATTTCCCTAAATGGTCAGCGATACGATGCGAAGACCTCCCTACATTTACTCATTATATGTTAAAGCAATACATAGTTATATTCTCAGGCATGGGCATGTGTTTGACTTGACTTTGGCCTGTTATCAAAAGGCATGAATGAACTCACGATCGATCGATGTTAATACCCTCCACCCAAACCGAGTTGACATTTGAAAGAATTCGAGTTTCGCGCTGTCGTTTAATAAATGTTTTCATAATACTAATTAAAATTAAACGAGAACCTGTTTGCCAGAACCAGAGTTGCCACCACAACAAGGGGAGAGAACCATTTAAATGACAATAAAAGCATAAAATCGTTTAAAATATTACGTATACGCCACGGAAGAAAACCCCGTCTGTCTGTTTGCTTATTTATGCGCCCGAGATGGAAACAAATTGCAATCGTAATTGCGCTTAAGTGGCCCAAAAGCTGCCTCCGATCACGAGCAGCGAATTCATTGAAAACCCATGGAACAAACAGACAAACAGACACAACAAAATATATATGGGGAAGTACGAAAGATGATTTTGAGTGGCCCGTCAATTGTGTTCTATAAATATAAAAATACCCACAGACAATTCCTTCCTCAATTGTCTCAATTTGTTGTGTCAGTATTTCACTATTTTTGGTGTGTGGCGCGGATCGGGGAATTGCATTTAGCAAATTTGCGGGTAATTACGGATCGGTAATTGCCCGCACTTTGAGGGCATCCGTCTGAAGCTCCAACCTCCCGTGTCGTTTGGCATTGTTTATGGAGTGTCGGTGTATAAATAGCTTGGCATACAAATCACACATTAATCCGCTGTGCGATCCGATCGTTAACATGCTAATGCCAGTCTAAAACGATCGTTTTCGTTGTAATCGAAGTCAAGAGTCTTGCGAATTCTCAAACTCACTTGGATGAGCCCAGAACCAAGGTGGCGAGCTACTTGAACAAATGATTGTTGATATACGGGGAACTATCGGGTTTCTAAACGGATCTATTTTTTTTGTTGACGATGCCTTTTTGTGCCAAACATATTAAGCGATCATTGGTATTATACCTATAAAATTATTTATATCTTTAAAGATTTCTACATTTTTATGTGCCCAATTTATCTCCTCATTCTTAAGTTTGGCAAAAAATGTGTTTATATACAGATATAAATAATTTATTTATTTGTTTTTAGTTTGAGCAAATGTTAGTTCTTAAAAGATTTAACTTATAAAAGATTAAAAGATTATAACTTATAAATAAAAGATACAATTTCTAGAGATATAGTTATAGCGCTGCTTGATTGATGTTAATTTAAATAAATATTTTCTTAATAATATGCCCAAGTTGATGTATATTTAGACTTAAACTTAATCATTATTGTATATTTTTTTTAACAACCAAGTTCCTTAAGAAACATCTAAAATATATTATTTCATTTTAAAAGTTGATCTTGTTTAACCGCCTTTTTTTTTTTAATTTTTGGTCATGCTTATACCGCAAAATAACTTAGGCTGATCTTCAATTTCTCCACTCTTTACGCAGGTGATCAACCCACTCGCGAATTTCGGCTGCTTTTTCTATGTTCCGCTTGATATTCGCACATTTAGTAAAGTGGAAATCGAAACCTGCCACACTTGTTTATAGGGTTTCGGGTGTGCTTTGTTTATAAGTTGGCCAGGCCATGTTTAGCTTTAGCCAAACTTATTTTTAGCGCCGCTCATTCCACTTGAATTATTGTCTAAACGTGTCCGAAAACAATAGCAAAGCCAACACACAAAAAAAAAAGTAAATATAAAACAAAATTGTGCCAGCTTGATGTTTTGGTATTTGAAATTCTTTCACAAAGCTTCGACAATTTGTCGAGTGTCTTATCTTTAAGGGCTTAGGGTGTGTCGCTCTCCGAAAAAACCAAAAAAACGAAGAAGCAAAGACATTGTCAACTTGTCCAACAAGTTGTGTATCCAAGGGAAATGATAACCGAATTTTGTATTTTTTGATATTGTGATAATTGTTGCCAGCCATGGGAATTTGTGCTAAGGAATGTGTACACTTAAGGAAAAACTTTGTAGGGGCTTGAATTGAAATTTGTTAATTTTTCAAAGAAATTTAATAAGTTAAATATTCAGGCTTATTAGGGATATGGACGAAATTTTATATATATTTATTATTTATTCTGTTTTGTAATGTTTTAATGCTTTTAAAAGGTTTTTGTTTTATTTTTCCTGAACTTAAGCTAAACGTTTTTTTCGTGGGAAAATATGATTTTTCTTAGTATTTAAATTGTTATCTTTGTGGAGAATTCCCATGCATAAATTGTTCTTTCAGCAATCGTGTTAAGCCATCGATCGTAAATCAGTTCAGTTCAGCTGATTAGCCTGTGATAAGATTTTATTATAGCTTGATTGACACTCTTTCTCAAAGTGATTTACTACAATATAAGTAGACAATGTTAATTCGGAATTCCATTCTAATACACAGAGAAAACTAGCAAAAGTTTTACGTGCAAAAATAGGATCGAAACATTTTAAACATAAACTTATATCAACGTTTTATTTTCTTAAATATTTAAATATAAAATATTATTTTCTTTTATACATTTTGTATGTTATTTAGTAACTTTTTCTTTTTTTATGTTTTAGGGCTTCCAAGCTTTGGCTGAGTGCATTTTCCGTGGCGGCTGTTGATCAGGAAAGCCGCCTGGATGCGTTTCTGCTTTGATCGGCTGTGCTTCGCAACCAAGCGGCCAGCCCAAAACTCCAATAGCAATGCACCACACTGCACTGCTCACAGCACAATTAGCACAGATGCACCACCAGCAGCGGATGTAGTAGATGTAGCCACAGCAGCAGCAGCAGCACAGCCTTCAAATAATCTGTTTTACGCCGACTACCAGAAGCTACAGCCAGCGATAATCGATCGGGATTGGGAGCGGGATAGAGGAACGCCAACCGAGGCCAAGCCGCCGGACATAGAGCAACAGCCTGAGATACAGATACATAGCCATCCACAGATACAGACAGAGAGCCATCCACAGATACAGACAGCTGCTCAGATACAGATACAGATACAGCGCCATCGCCGGCATAGCAGTGCCGAAGATCGCAATCTGAACACGAGGCGGCGAAACGATTCGAATACTACGGAGGCGGTACGAAAAGCAGCCAGTATGCAGCAGGAGCCGAACGCCAACTATCAGTTCCCAACCGACTTGGGTCTGGTGAGCATCGTCAACAATAATAATAACAATAATATCAACGCTCTGTCGAGTGGTGCCAGCAACAACACCAATAATAATAATACTAACAACAATCTGGTGGGTGGCATTGTGACCTTGCCGGCGGCTGGTGGTGGTCTCATAGGTCTGGAGCACACGGCATCGGGACTGCGGCTGATACCGGCACCACCAACGCACTCGGAAGTGCTGACCCACACGCTGATCTACGGAACACCGCCTTCGGGAGCCCAGCAATTGCATCAGGATCCGCGCAGTTTGCTGCATCAACAGGAGCTGCAGTTGCAGCAGCGCTATCAGCAATTGCAGCAGTTGCAGGCTCAAACGCAGGGCTTGTATACGAGCCAAGGCAGTCCTGTCTTGTATCATCAAAACAGCGCGTGTTCCAGCCAACCGGTGGCCATACCCGGTGCCAGTTGTCATTCGCCCACGCAATTGCAAGCGCCCACCACTCTTAACCTTCAGCAGCAAATGCAGAGCTTGAGGATCTCGGGATGTACGCCCAGTGGCTCGGGGGGATCGGCCACGCCCTCGCCGGTGGGCTTGGTGGATCAAACCCTGCTCATGGGCAACTATGTGGCCGCCTCGCCGCAGGAAGAGCGCTTCATACAGATCATTCAGGCCAAGGAGCTCAAGATACAGGAAATGCAGCGGGCCCTTCAGGTCAAGGACAATGAAATTGCCGAGCTCAAGTCGCATTTGGATAAGTTCCAGAGTGTTTTCCCCTTCAGCCGCAGCAGTGCGGCGGGATGTGCCGGAACGGGCGGAGGATCGGGCTCATCCGGAGCGGGAGGGGGAAGTGGAGCGAGTGGTGGTCCCAGCACCGCCACAGGTGCCACCCGCAAGTCTGGACAGAACTTCCAGAGGCAGCGTGCCCTCGGCATCTCGGCGGAACCACAAAGCGAGTCCTCACTGCTGCTCGAGCACGTCAGCTTTCCCAAATACGACAAGGATGAGCGGTGAGTTTTCGAAAAATATATGTACCTTATAAGGCGAAAACCTTTGAAAACTCATAGATCTTTGAAAATTCTAAAAGGTAGCTGTTTTAATCACAGTTCAGAATATTTCTGATTACAAAATACTTTCCATTTCCAATGATATACAATTATATTTGCATACTGTATTACTATATAATATAGGGATCTATGTAGTAATTATATTTCTAATTATTTCTAAAAAATATTTACTTCTCATTCCAAAGATATATAATTATAATACCTTACACACTAGTTAGTCTGAGGATCTAATGAATAAATGTATTTCGAATTGTTATTGATTACTAAAAACTTAACATTCCCAATGATATATTATTATTATTTGTTAATCTAGGGATCGCTCTTCAGTTATCGATTTGTTTACTTCTGATTGTCAAATACTTGCCATTCCCAATCTATACAATCAATCTATTTCTATTTCTATTGATATTTTTCCATTACATCATGTGGTTAGTAGTACTTTTATTTGTACCATTATCTATAAAATCTGTATTCACTTCATCGAAGTTCTTTCTACAAAACATATGTCAATCAAGTTTTTTTTGATTTGTATAATTTGTATAGATCTAAATTGTACAATATTTATATTATAGAATATATTAATACAGAATTAATTTCTTCAAAGCTTTTTCTTCCTTACTAAAACGTATTTCTTTATTAAGTTTTATATAAAACCAAGATTAACCAAGTTATTTTTAAATTGTTTGTATTTTGCAGTGATTCATTTTTTTATCTTTGTTTTTTTTTTTTAATTATTTTTATTTTTAAATGTTCTGTGTATATAATTTTTAGTAGTATTCTGTTTTTGATACCATTTACATGAAACACATTGTAATTTATATTTATTAATAACTATTGTGATGTTGTTTGTGTTGATCAAAATATCATAGAGTTGATTCACTGTGTTGTTAAATAAATTCAGAGCACTTTGGCTTTCTGACTTAATCGTCTCTCTCAGATTAGCCCTGCATAATGGCAATCTGGGGTATACGGATGTTCAGAGTCTATATTAAGTCTATATAGCCGGACCGATAACGATCGGCACCATCGTCATTGTGGTGATTTTAATCAAATATTGGGAGCAGCGCCCTGTCGCCTGCCACGAAATGCGTTTATTAAAATTGAGTTGGGGTGACAGGCGCTGTTGCACCGCCCAACACCACCCCTTCGTAAATGGCCTTGGGCGGTGTCAGTACTCGGATATAAAAATCTTTATGAATACATACAAGCCACATATATGAATTGTGGCCCACAGAAAGGCTGCCAATTGGCAGCCAATTCACGCTACATTGCGTCACATTCGTTTCTTTCTCTATGGGGATTTTTTAAGACACTTTTTTGATCATGCAAAATTCGTTGCAGTCTCTCCCCATCATCTTATATGTATAATTAAATGAGTATAAAATTAAATCCGTGAAAATGCGTGGGCGGTTCCTGTCGGCTGTGCGATTTTCACACTTTTGCTGCCCACTGGAAGTCGTTGCTCTTGGCCAGCTTTCCCCACTTTGTCTGCTGCAAAACATAAGAAAACATAAATATTTATTCTTTGACTACGTGGCGATGTTTCCTCAATGCTTTTCAATTATAATATTCCGGGGCATGTGCCATCACACTTCATTTAAATGGCGACACGCGCTGTTGAAAAATTATTCATCCACATTTTCTACTAATTTTTATTAGCTTTTATGGGTTATAACTTAATTTAGTATTGTTTTGCATGATATTAAGCGAAATTTCACATTTCAAACATTCTTCAAGATTTTTCTATTGTTGGTGCTAAGCAGGAAAAAATATATTTACATTATTATTGGCGTTGGCATAAACAAACGAATGCCAATTTCCTATTTTTAAAGTATTTTTTTTATCAAAGTGGAAAATTTGTTGGTGAAATTAGCCAAACTTTTGACGGTACTTCTAAAAATAACATTGGTTCTTTTCTTCGTATTGCTTTGTAATCAAATAATAAGTTATATGGAGCTCAAGGGGTTTTACCTGAAATTTTATCAAAAAATATATTTTTATAAAAAAGAATATCAAATTTTCTTGTGGTTTTTTAATTTTTTGTAATTATAATTGATGAAATCTTTGGCTATCAATGAAATCACTTAGACCTCGATGTCAAAATGATATCGATATATGCATGATTATTTGTCATACTTATTCGCAATTTTTGCCTACACCTGGCATAGACTAATCTGAATGCGTATCGGACGCTAAGTAATGCGGCAAATTTGTTTAAATCGGCCATTTTTATGACCCCAAGCTGTTGACACAATCACAAAAAATCGCCGGCAAATTCGCGAAATTCAATTGCAATTCAAACATTTTAATGGTCTGTGGTTCTTGGCAGAAATGGAGAGGGGGTTTTTAAGTCTGGATTTTGGAGCCAGCCAATTGGGGTCCATTTTATCTCTGACCAAAATCTGTGCCGACGGCGACGTTTGTGTGTGCAACAGGACATTTTTTGACACTTGCATGGCATAAATCAAAAGCGCCGCAGGCCTCCACTACGATATACCACATATATATATATATTCATGAAGTCTATGGGATCGGGATTGAGACTGAGGCTTGGTCTCAGTACTTTTGTGGCCATTTACACCACGCAACTGTCGCCTGTTGCCTTTCAACGGGGCCATCTAATAAATAGTGCCACAAAATTGTGCGAAATTGCCTTTGCAGTGCAGATTCTAGGAGGGGGTTGGCGTCATGTGGACAGGGGCGTGCACTGGCAGGGGGTCTAGGCAGAACTTGCCACACGTTGCACATACATGTGTCCACGGTCAAGATGACAGTTTGTTTTTTCTGTTTAGGTTTTGGAAAACATGTGGGTCAGAACGTAAATGCATAATTAAAGTTATATTTTGCTAGATTAAAATTATTGGGAAAATTATTGAAAATTTATGGAAGGTTTAACAATACCATTTAAATGACATTAATTATTTTTAGACAATTATATAAAGAGCCCAAGTCAAATGGTCTTAAATAATGTAAAGATCTTAGAGAATTAAAGCCACGAACACTTATTATACGTATAAGGAATTATTTTCAATGTATAGACATTATTAAATTTATAAAAATTAAATGATAGTACGCAATAATATTTTACATCACTCAAATCAAGTGAAATATTGTAATTAAATACTTATTTAGTACTATTATAATTAACAAATTATGTTAATTTCATTGACTTTATTATAAAACTTCGATGGCTGTTTGAAACTCTGACTATTTTAAAGGAGTTTCTAAATTGTATTTATTTTATTACATTTTTACCTCTTATATAGAATTATACACTTATAACAGTAGCTAACTACCGCGTATTATTAAATTTGTTTGACAACATCAAATTGGCATGCAATTTTTCTTTTCACTTAGCCAAACTCTCGACAAGTCTCCTCCCCTTTAGCGTGCATGCCATGATTGCCATCTCACAGACAGCAAAACCACCTCACACATGTCCATAGATTGGTACCAAAAATCAAGCCCCACCCAAAAAAGCCCACTTTGTGGTTGGTTTGTCGCTTCCATTGGCGCCGACTTCTATACGCAATTTCCATTTTAAATTCAGTTCGTTTTTATTGTCAACTGCTCTTAGCCGCTAAGTATTTGCACTTTCAATTCGGTTTGCCAGTTGTTTTCGCGAGTCTCAAATTGAACGCACCCGCAACTGATCGACTGATCTCTGGGGACTGGGTTCCAAATATTTCCTAAGGTGCAGTCAATTTCATTCCCCATGCCTTGGCACACATTTCAAATTCAATTTACGTTCAAATATAGCCATATGAATGGTTATAGCTTCCGACAACTGGAACGCTCAAGCGATCCGGCCCGTAGGTCTAATTGAAGCTCTTAATTGTTTTGTCTCGTTCACGAATGTGGCACCACTAGCACCACTGGCACCACTGACAACGACTTGCACCACCACCGCCATTGTGTTACGCATGTGCGTGGTGCTGCAGCCAAAGAAAATGTTAGTTTAGGCATATCAAAAAATGGTCCGCTGGTAAAACCCCACGGGGCAAACACCACCTCCGGCTACTCGTCTACACTCTGAAAATAATTGTAAACTTATTTAATTCACAATTCATAGATATTTTAAAATCTAATAATCAATGCACAGGCTAAACCAATTAGGATATGGTTTTAAATTTGGCTTATATCTAATCTTATTGTATTTAATTGATTTGTTAATACAAAATAATTTTTGAAAGTGTTTGATTACTTTTCTTACAACTTGGTCGATAGTTAAAAATATAATTAAAATATATTTTCCGAGTGAGTGCACCTCCTTCTTTTTTAGTTTCAACTCCAATAGGGGAACTCGTTTTAGTTTGTGGGGCGCTGAAATCCAATACTTTACCATGCCAAAAAAATATCCATGTTATTACATATTGTCGCTTCCTAGACCCACTTGGTCGTGACTAGGGTATCGATTAGACACGAATCACCTTTTTTTATACACTTTATAATTTTTTAATAAATTTTAATTGAGAGTGCTATGTGGTGTACCCGAAAATACCGCAAAGATACATGAATACCCGCCAAACGGGCGCCACAGGTGTTGGAGTCTGGGTGTAGTTGTCGCTTTTTGGCCAAATATTCCCCCCACTCCAACGCGCCAAGCCAACTCATCACCACATTTTGGGGCAATCAGGTAGCTGCTGCAGGTTTCTCCCAAACTCAGTTCGGTTCAAGCCAAGCTCAGTTCGCTGCCAAAAACGAGCCTTACAAATTGGCCCCCAATCCCATCGACGACAGCCAGTGCAACGCCTTCGTGATTAACTTTGATCATTGGGCAGAGATCGGTGGGACCATATTGTCGCTTAAAAAATTTCCAAATTTGGTAAATATTAAATAGAAAGAATTCTTTCCCAAAGTCTAATTAAAGAAGTGATTAAATTTTCCTATACAACATACAACTGAATTTAATATTTTACAAATCTTATAAAAATAGGTGTGAATTTAAAATCTTTGAACTATTTTCTAGTATTTTGAATCCCACAAAATGTTGGTCACACTGGCAATTGCCTATCTGGCTTTAATTAATCACCGCAGCTCAGCGCTGGCTTTCAATTTTATCCGATCCACTGCTTCTATTCCCATTACTGTTTCTCTGGCCCGGGCCAGTTGTCAAGTTCGCTGACAGATAAAGTCATTTGACATTTACAGGCATAGCCGACATGGTATAGCATGGCATGTCCATGGATCCCCACTCCCCCAAAAATAAATAGCCACCGATCTCTCCCCCTCACTCCCAAAAACCGAAGCATACAATTTTCAAATTTGTATTAATTTCATATCGGTCGATTGCGCGCATGCCAACAACCATCGATATTGGAAAAAAAAGAATTAAAATGCCGCAAAATTTTGGTGGCACAACTTGTTGCCTGGCTTGTAAAGCCAAACTGGCCGACCAGATAAAACGATTTATATGTGTCAGCCGGAAAATTAATTGGACTCTTGCCTTTGCCCATTTCGTTGACAGTCTCTTGCCGTTTTTAATATGCACAACTAATTGCATTTATATATCGTTTTGCAGCTCCCGTGAACTTATCAAATCTGCCATTTTGGATAATGACTTCATGAAGAATCTGGATTTGACGCAGATTCGTGAGATCGTCGACTGCATGTATCCGGTGAAATATCCAGCCAAGAATCTGATCATCAAGGAGGGAGATGTCGGCAGCATTGTTTACGTCATGGAAGGTGAGTTTAACGTTGAAATATTATGGGGTGTATTTTCACTAAGTTAGGGGATTTGACAGGAAATAGGATTTGGGCAGATAAATTTGATAAATGAAAGAAAATTGCCATTATCAAATTAATTAAAATATTTATAAATTAAGAAAAATGAGAACAGAGCAAAAATATTAGTTAGGATAATAGAAAAATTATATTTTTCATTGAAAAAATAAATAGGAACGATCTTTGAATCATAATTGTACAAAAAAATTCACAGAATATATACATTTCATGCTTTTTAAAGAATTATTTTGTGGAATTTGTCATTATATTAATTAAAAACGTAAAGAATAAAACCAATTCAATGCGAATGCTTAAGTTTGTATCTTATGTACATCGTTTCTTTTGAGATACAATTGCATTTCAACTTGTATTTGCAGCCCAAAAGTATGCTAAGCAAACTTTTAAGGCTGCCACCTTAAAGGTGTAAAATGCATGTAAAAATGATTGTCTTAAATAAAATTCAGTAAATCTAAAAGATTTTAGAGTTCTTATATTAAGAAATTAGTTTCAGACTTTGTTTTTAAAGATGTTTTATGTATAATTGGCATTGTTTATCTATGTATAAGTATGAACCTTTTTAGCCTACATATTTATATACTCTTGGTAGTACATTTCGTTTTTCATATCACTAGCCATAAATAAATTATTTAAATTTGTTTATCATATTTTTTCTCTATCCCTACAAATACCTATATCTTTTTTACCTTGCCCCGCCATGATCGTGCAACTTGTTGCCACAGATAAGCAACTACTCCTTCGATTTGGCTAGCTGCACGTGTGTTTTTGGCCAGATGTGGCATACCTGAGTTTTGGGCTGGGACTGGAACTGGGTTTGAATGATATAGGGGGTCTTGAGGGGTTTTTCTTTGCGGGTGGGACTGTGTCACACCCACGCGGCCAGAAGAAGAGAAGTTCAGAGTCTCGCCTTGCAACGAAATGTCAGCGCGGCGAACGAACAATGCCCAAGCGGGTTTTCATTTCAATTTTCGCTTAGCATTTTGTTTAATGGTATTTTGCACGTTTTTCTGCGTTTGTCTTGCACCCATTTTATTTCTGGGTGTGCTCCTAGCCTCATGGCTAATTGTTGTTTTAAATATTTGCTCGAACTGCTGGGTTCGGTTTCGCTTGAGTTCTGTGCGAGATTTGTGTACCTTTCGTGTTAATTTAGTCGCCGACTTAATTTACGTACTAACATTAGCATTTTAATTGCAACCAGACGACGGGTGAACAGTATAAGCCTGCACAAAAGTAATAACAATGATTATAATCAACAGTCGAATTATGCATTCAGCAAGTGGCAAGATGAATTGAAGGAGAGGATGCTTCCTCAATCTTGCAACATCATCTTCCTCGTCGTCTGCGATTTTCGCTTCCTTAACCTGAAGCACCGATGTCCGCTACTCGAAAACGATGAACAGATGTCACGGCATCTGTCTATATATCATATAGCCGCCTCACATATGATACTCCAAAGAGAAAGAGAGAAAATTCAGAGAAGGAAATTGCATACACAGCAGATGCTTAAGAGATTTTTGCAAGGTTTCGGTCTTGCTGATTATCCCAACGCCCTGAAAATGCACTCAAAACAATATAGATTCATTAAACATAATAAATACTTTTGAGATAGTAAACCTACTGATTAAACTTTCCTATCTCAGGCCATGATGTCTGATTTATTTTCAAACTCTCTACTGATTACTAAATAGAAGTAAATATTATCTGCTTCGATTAGCAATGTTTAATGGCAGTTTGTCTGGATTTTAAATTATGACTATCTATGAGGTCACTGGACTTCTGGAACTATTAATATTTCCGCACGTTCATTGTTCCATTTATGAATTGTTACGATTTTCGAATGATAACGTTTGTATTTCTTCGGTTTTGCGTAGCGAATCGGTCTGTCACTTAGGACCAAACCAGTTCACCAGCTTGGCATTGTGTACACTGAGAGAAATAATCACACAAATAGTAATAATTAAGCAAATACGTTTTTGAAATTAGAAAATTATTTTGTTAATCATGTTTATACAAATATTTTGGATTATAAATGGGTGTACTTTACGTTTTGTTTTGTCGTGTTCTCCTACGCACTATTTTTCTCTGTGTACCGCACTAGTTTTTGTTCAGCTCTTTACCTGTATGAATGTGTGGGTACATCGATTTCTCTCTCCCTGTATTTATACATACATACCTATATCCCCCGATTTCTGGGGCTCTCACCCACAAACAAAACAAAGCGTGGCCAGCTGGGCTGCTGCCTTATACTCAAAACTCATATCTCCCCCATAATCTATTGCTCTCTCTTTGCTCTTTGGTAACCGCTCTCTCTCTCAGCCGATCGCTCAGTTGGAAATGAGTAATATTCACCAGTATTTCGTATCCCGAACTGCGGGCAATTCGTCATTCGTCCGGCAGGCTGCGTAGTGAGAAAACGTTGTGGGGCGCATGCGCGCTCGTCAGCAAAATTTGCACCTGGATTTTACAACTACAAGAATAACAGAAAACTAAATCAAAACTCCCACTTCGTGTTTCGTCATTTCTTCGCGTCGCGCTCTCGTCGTTCGCTGTGATTTTACAGTTTTGTTTTAATTTTTGCATATGGCATTCGGCCAGAGATATAATAATAAAACCCACATACCGGACAATTACAATGCCTCTTCTCACACACGCCTTCGCGCTTTTTCCAACAATACTGCTTACATAAATAGCTCTAGTTTTGCTGTTCTAAATAAACAAGTAAACAAAAACCACACAAGTTTCCCATGTAATTATGCTGCTTAATAGAGATCAGCCAAACGATTTGTGTGTAATTTCCTTGAACTGCTCGTAAATTCTTGGAATTGAAGTTGAAGTGAATTAAAAGTGAAAGTGAATTGTTTAAATACTTGCATTAAGGAAACAAAAAACACTATTAACGCCCACGGAGTGACACAAAACGAAAAAAAAGAGACAATTGTGCAGAGAATAAGGCACAGAAACGGGAACTTGACTTGCTTGTTTTTTGCTCTTTTTTTCTCGAATTGAACGAAAAGATCACTTGAAGAATTCCGGTTTGTGGTTTTTCTTTGCAGCTGTTGTTGTTGTTGTTGCTGTTGTTTTTATTGCTGTATTTGTAATATGTCTCGGTCATTGGTCCGAAAAAAAAAACAGAAAATAAAATAAAAAAATCGACAATAATGGTGTAGAAATACAGATATTATAAAGGTAAAACCGTATAATGCCAAATGTCAGTTCTCCGATTTGATCGTGCAAGAATGTGAGAATATAAATCGCACAGAGAATCTGATATGGCCCCAAAAACTAAAAGAAATTCACTTGAAATGCGGAAGAATGTGCAATAATTAAATTAAATCCAGCTAGAAACATAAAACAAAACAAAAAACCCAAAAATTTAGAAATCGTGTGAAATCCTAATCAAAATGATAATGATCATAGCGAGGGAGAGGCTAGTGTCATGCCCTGGAACCGGGTCTCCACCTGTCAATTGACTTCTTTTGTCATTTCCCTTAACCTAAGCTAGTTAGCTGCGGAATCAGACTTAGACATAGACTGTGACTTAGACTCAGATTCAGACCCAAGACCGGTCCGGAACACGGAGATGCCGGGTTCGAAACCGAGAAGGGGCACTCTCACTTTTAAGTAACCAACCAACCAACCAACGAGTTTTGCATTCGCCTTTTGACATGCCAAATGAACTGGCTTCGCTTGGGCGCTCGAATGCGATGGGGTAATAGACGAAAAGCTAGATCACAAGATCATTGGGAAATTTGGGTTTGAATTGGTCAAAATTATAGTGTTTCGAAGCGGTTTCTAATTGATCTCAAACAAGTGGAACAAATTCGGTAGCTACTTCAAGATGGGTTTTCTTGGATTTTTGGCATTTTACCATAAGTAATTGACCTCAAACATGTGGAACCAAATTTGTAGCTACTTAAGGGGAACATTGGATAATGTTGTTGTGCTCAATTTCATTTTCTTTAAATTTATAAAACCATTAAAATGTAAAATAATTCAAAGGCAAACTGTCTAATTGATCTCAGTTTCAAAATGATCTTAAGCAAGTGTAACTAAAAATTGGCTAATTTATTAAAGAGTTGAAGAATTCAAAGGCATTTTGTACGTTTTCCTATTTTGTTTAAAAAAACAAGAATGAATTTGCTTATTATTACTCAAAATCCTGTTTTGATATTTTAAATGCATTATGTGCTTTTTTTCTGTCAAGAAATTGGTGCCCAAAAGCTTTTTAATAGTGATTAATCGAAAGTTAATGATGGAAGGCTATCAAGAAACATAGTTTCCAAGACTTTTTTTCTACTGAAAATGGAATAATAAGAAAGTGTTGGTTTGAGATTCTCTGGGGCATTCCCCAACAATCGTTCAATCTAATCAGTAACTCGAGCTTGCTGCAGAAAACCTTATAAATCACATCAGAATCTTGTTTGTCAGCTTTGACGCCGTTTTTAATTACAATATATTTGCAAAACAAAGAGAGCTGCTGGCTGGGAGATTGCCGGAATAAGGTTCGATCTTGCTTGACTACAATCTAAATTGTACACACAAAAGATAATTCTTCCCTCTGATCTTTCCTCCCTCTGTCATCCAGTTTTTATAACTTTCTTTATAAGCGACTTTCATTAGCATAGACAAACAACTGCGAGACATCAGCTGAGATATGACCATAAATATTTATTGTGATGATTTACAAGCGAACGCGAAGGTGTGTGTGTGCCAAAATGCGGTCATGTTTTGGCAAAAAGGTAGAAATAATCCAAAAAGAGTGACTAAGCCAATGGAGGTTTTTTCTTGTCTTAATTGTCAGTCAAAAGGGCGGACCAAAAAAAATAAACCAAGTTGTTTGTGTGTATAATTACGAGCTGTCATGCAAAACCAAAAACGACTTGGACTCGGACTCGATCTGAATCTGAAAATGAATCCACGCTGCCCTTGGCATACAAGACAAAGTCTGTGACTAACTTTGACTTAATCGAGGCTTCCAAACCTCTGCTCTGGAGATCCGTTAACTTCTATAAATAGCGGCCTCAAAAATACAGAAACTCGCAGGAAAAAAATGAATAAGTTCCATTGATTTATTTCGCAAAGAAAAATTAAAACTATAAAATCATAAAAAGTGATTAATACATTATATATATATTGTTAAAAGGAGATTAAAAGGTTTTAAGTAGTGTAGGTTTTTGATCATTTTTCTGAAGAATGAACTAAAAAAAAAATTAAAAAACTTTTAAAAAGATAAATTAAATTTGCAAATAAATACATGTTTAAATAATTTTTTTGAAGAACGAATGTGACTTTCCTAAGAAAAAAATAAAACTAAAAATCATTTAAAATAGATCATACATTTTAAATCATTTAAAAGTGATACAAAAAAGTTTTTTTTTTTAATTATTCTTCTGATAAATATGTCTCCGCACTACAACTGTATACTATTAAAAACAATCAACATATTTTCCCATAAGTACGATTGATTTCAAATGAAAATTGATTTGTTCCTACGATTAGCCTCCATTTGTAGTTAACAAAGTGATAAGTGAGCCATTATCCGACTATTAATGAAACGCTTTTTCCCCAGTGCAAAAGCAAAGTTGTTTTAAGCGAATTCTTGTTTCCCCAGCATTGCGATTGTATTCAAATCGGCGAATCAGACACTGGCTGACCTTGCCAACACTCAACATCCAACAACCATTAAGCCCAAAGCCAGTCTCTCTGGGCAAAAAATTGCAAAATGTCTGCAGTTTCAATTTGTACACATTTTTTCTTCTTTAATTTCTGTGTTTTTTTTTTGTTTTGTTTGGGTGCTCAACTGTGCTTGACGGATTTCCGCATTTTAAAAACGCCAGCAAACCTCGACCCCGGTGAACCCGCCGAACCCCAAACTTGGCTTTCCACACTTGTATTTGGGAAAACTTGCCCATTAACCATAGGGAAATTTTTGTTTTTGGCCAGCAGTCTCTAAAATGGTAAAAAAATTGTGGAATGGAAACTATGAATATAAGATCCATCATTAAAATAAAATATAAAATCATAATATTAAAGAGAATGCATATAAAAGTGTTTGATTTAATATTAAAATATTTGATTTTATATTTTAAGTATCAGCTTTAAAATTTGTGCTATTTGATTTAAATAAATCATAATAAATAAACATGTTTAAATTTTTACAAAAAATGTAAAATTTCCGTATTTAAAATATATTCAAAGCGAAATACATACAATATATTAACGTTGAGTACGAAATACTTATATTTACAAATTTTTTTTTAGTACCGATGTTGTATTTGGAAAAACTTGCCCTGTAACTATATGGAAATTTTTTTTTGACCAGCAATCTCTGCCAGTTGTTTTGTTGTTTACCCTTATCACTTAAAAAAAAAAAAGCCGAGGCACGAGTTGTTCTCACATGGAAAACCACGTAGTGATAATAAGTTCAGTTCTCGGGTTTCTCGATTTATCTCACCCGCCGCTCTTACGCAAATAAAAATCTGTGTGCCGCCAGGCAGGTAATTCATTTGCTATTAGTTACGAGAATAGTTCAACAACACCGACGCGTCGGTCTTTTGTTTACTGATTAATTGATCATGTTCAAGGCGCTAAAAATGATCATTGTTTGGCATTTGTGTTTCGCCGCTGGTAATTGTTGCTCGTCGCCGGTGTTTGTGCAGTTTGTTTAGTCATTTACTCACCGTTTCCGATTGTGCGTAGTCGTGACAATTGAGCGTTTTCAATTGGATCGCAAATGTGTTGTTGTGTGTGGTAAGGAACCACATTGTCTGGATTTTATATACTAAGCAATATCATTTTATTTATGGGGAAGTTTATTTCCAGAGAATTTTCTTGAAATGTGATCTTGTTTTTCTGAAAAAGCTTCTGATTTTCTTGTGTTGTTAAAATTATAAAGATATCTAACTGGGAATTTTTATTACCAGTAATTATAAATTCCATTTCCAAACATTTTTAAAAAACCTGTCTCTGCTAATATAAAAGTTATTCAACCCACGATGTTAAAATATGCCAGACTTTCTAATTTACTTTGCACATTTTTTCTAGTCAAGCATGCCCATCCCATGTGCTCATTAAATAATAACTAAGCTCTCCTGTAAACAAATATTTACCCGCAGATTTTATTCAATTTTACTATACACACCCCTAATAACTGAGTCATCAAAAACACATTTAGCTGACTTTCAAGATCACTTGCGTCAGTTTGTGCGATCAATTAGCGTAAATTGATGCACAATAGTTTGGAAATCCCTCGTAGTTAACAACTCCCTTCCAATTCAGAGTCACGCTCCATTTTTCGAGCCCAGCACCGATGGTCACTTGATTTATTTTTGGTTTCTCTAGGTCGGACACTACGTCATATATTCGGTTTTTCGTTAAACGCCTTTATTGTTTACCTTTGGCAATATCGCCAATTGTCACTTCCCCTTTGAAACCCCGTCGCCCACTTTCATTCACAATTGGCTAATTTGTCGATGATTAAGCTTTCGATGCATTTGCAAGTGGAAGAGGTGGAAAGTAAGTCGCGACTCACTCATTCACACGCTCTTACCAATTGCCCCGAAATTAATTATCAACTTGAGCTAATTGCTATCGTATATTTTTGGCTAATTAGCCAAATCCGGCATAAATTGTGGGTTTTTAAGCCGTAGTGGAAAAAAACAAATAATAAATGTAGGAAAAACTATTTAAAAAGCTAGTAGTGCTTTATAGTTTTGATTGTATTTTACAGAATACAGAAGTTAATATTTATTTATTTATTTATATTCTGTAAAAAGTAAAATACAACTTTTTTTTAAATGTATTTTTTTTTTGTATAACTACTATTTTTCTGCTCAGCACTGTTGCCAGAGGGCTTGTCAAAGTTGGTAGATTAACTGGTCATAAACAAAATCAATGCACAAACGTAAGGCAAGTCGCAAAAACATGGAAAGTTTACAACATCGACAACAACGGCATAAACAGAAACAGAAACAGCAACTTAAAAAACCAGCAAGCAAAAGAGCCACCAATTTTGTGTGTGTGTGGCTCTTTTGCAATATAAATAACAAATACATTTTTGTTGGCACCATCACAGGCCTGAAAATCCAACCATTCCCCGTGACTCGTCAAATATTCCGTGCGCGAAATTTCAACGCTTAAGCTTGGGTTATGCAAAAGACTCCCGAAAAGAAACAACCGAAGAAAACAAAAAACAAAAACATAAACTAAAGACAAAAAAAAAAAAAAACAAAGCACGTAGCTGCAGCTGGTCAAGTGAAATTTTCTCCTTTCGTAATGAAAATCAAACATTATCCGGGCAAAGCCGTCGATGCGAGTCTTTCGCTGGAGGGCACAAGTGCAATGGGTGCCATCTACGAGGCCAACTGGCTAAGGGCTGCAAATCCAAACAATCCGGCCACCAACTCAAAGTTGAGCAGACAAAACAGTACGGCGGGTAGTAGTAGTTTCCTCATCGAGGGGATATCCGCCCTAAGCAAATACCAAATGGCACTGGAGAACATAAGACAATTGGAGCAACAATCGCGGGACAGACATATAGTGAGCACGATTAAGGAACTAAATGGTTACAGACCATCGGCATTGCAGCACCATCAGCAGGGGGAAATGCATAATGGCTGGATAGCCGAGGATCAGGATGAAATGGTGGAGTCCACAGAGGAAAAAGAAAAGCTGGATGGTGTTAAGCCAGCGCCGGCAGTCAATCACTATGTTTTGGATCCCACGGAGCGAGCTAGAGTTCCGCGACCACGTCAACAGTTGTCGGTGAAACCGCCTTCACTGCGTCGCTCGCAAACGATGTCGCAACCGCCCAGTTATGTCACCTTGAGGTCACCCACTAAGAAACCCCAAAATCTCAGCAATAGTTCCTCATCCGCCTACTCCACATTCTCCTCCGCTGCCGAGGATTCCCAAGATCAGGTAGTGATCTGCCAGCAACCACAGAGATTGATGGCCCCACCACCCAGAGAGCCGCCACCTGAGCCACCAAAAAGGGTGGTGTCCAAACCACTCAGTAGATCGCAGACCTCTGTCCAGCGATATGCCACCATTCGCATGCCCAACCAGTCCACCACTTTTGCTAGAAGTATAGCTAGGCCTAGGGACTCCACTGCTTCGCTGAGACGCCATAGCCTGGAGCAGGCCATCAAGGCACTCAAACTGCAGGAGGACCAGAAGGACACTCATCCAAAGAGTCAGCAAGAAATCTCACCCGCTGCCAGCAGTAATGGCAGCTCCAAGGATCTCAACGCCGAGGGATTCTGCATCCCACGTCCTCGTCTCATCGTCCCCGTGCACACATATGCCCGACGACGAAGGACTGGGAACCTCAAGGAGCAGTCCTCTGGGGGACAGGACGAAGAGGAACCAGAGAAGGGTAAGGGTTGTGTGGTGGATTATGAAGAAAATTCATTAGAAGAATTGAATCTTTGAATCTATATACCTTGAATCGTTATTTTAAATATAAACCTGTTTAATTTTAAGATATATATATATATATATATAATTTTTAAGTGGTTTTTTAAAGGCTTAAGTCTTTTTTAAAATCAGAAATCATGATCGTGAACATAACAACCCATACCTATTATATATGTTTCACTGTTCTTCAATAATTTAGTCAGAAGTTGAATAATATAAAGTCTTAGTTTAAGGACCATAAATTTATTTTACAGTACTGTTAGCTAAAATAAAGAATTTGTTTCTAAATTAGTAAGACTAATAAAAGGCTTTGAAAACATGATTTGAGAAGTTTCATGAATTTTCCAAGATTAGAAATCATTTATAATAAAAGTTGTATTATTTTTGCTCAATGCATCAGCTTAGTTAGAATGAAGGGGTGTATTTCTTGTACACTTTCCGTATTTACCCCTACTAATTTGATATATTTCTTTGCTACCCAGATGGCCGCGTGGAGGTTTCCCGTGAGGGCAAATACCTTTCGACCCTTTCGGGAGCAAAGGTTCTTGGCGAGCTGGCCATCCTGTACAATTGCCAGAGGACGGCGACCATCACCGCGATCACCGAGTGCAATTTGTGGGCCATCGAGCGCCAGTGCTTCCAGACCATCATGATGCGAACGGGGCTCATTCGACAGGCGGAGTACAGCGACTTCCTCAAGAGGTGAGTAGCCACTACTAGCTTTCCTTTTTGGCCAAAAGGCATACCCCATAGCCACTTGAAACGCAGACTTCCCCATTGCCAATCGGCTATTTAATGTGCATTTTAATGAGCATCTGCGCCTGGGGCGAGATGGTGAGATGGCGAGATGGTGCCGACTGGTTATTTGCAATTTGGGCGTAATTAATGTTCATTTGCACTTAATTATATCAATTCCGCAGAGCAGCATCGTGTATGGTCATTAGTTTATAATGGCAAATGTATAAAATCGCTTGGCTTAAGGATTTTTTCCCGCTGTCGAATTGTGTGTGCAAGGTTTTCGATTAAAGTAAGTTAACTTTCTCCACGGCATCTCTTCAGATCGAATGCAACATTATGGCCATCTCGTCATCGTCATGGTCATGGGCGTCCATATGACGTGCAATGGCTCAAACAGCAAACTCAAACTGAAACTTAAACAGAAAACTGTAAACAGAAAACTGAAAACTCACTTCAGCCAACGGCCAACGAACGCATAGAAATTTCTTTTCAAATGGCCGTGGTAACCAGTTTTTGGCCAACAGCCTCCAGTCTCTCCTCCAGTTGCTCCTTCTGCTGCAGATAGTGACCGGCAAAATTAATCGCGTTTAATTGGTCTTCGTCGTTGTGGTAAAAACTGCTAAAAACCATAATTGAGGTCTCGACCATGCACTCGTTGCCTATTCCAGATTCAAGAAGTAGCGGACAAAAAGCGGTTAGAAAATGAAAGTGCAATGGGCTGCTGATGATGATGACGATGATGAAAGATTCAGATACAGATACAGCCAGCTGCAACTGCAACTTAAGCTATAGATTTAAGACACATGTGTGCACCATTCACTAAAAAAATGCTAGCCAGCGGGAAAAACAGAATAGGGAGGAGTTGAGGTTCGATTATCGTGGTGTACAGTCGAAGAAAAGTCAGTGAAGTTGAAAAAGAAATTAACTAAACCTAAATGAAGATTTTTTTATAAACAGAATATCTGTTAAACTGATATTTACATTGAGTTTTCCCTTTTAAAAATACTAGAGCGTGTTAAATTTTTCCTCGGCTATACTAGATTATGGTATATGGATTTAAAAGCAAATTACTTTTGATATTTTTTTATTATACAGAATATCTGATAAATTAATCTAAATAAATTGTTAAAATTCAATTGAATTTTAATGATATTTATATTGAGCTTTTCCTTGAAACAAGATGAATATTTCTTTGATTAGTAAGAAACAACGGAAATTGAAGATACATGTTAGCTACCCCTTTAAAATATTGTACTTTAGAGCGTAATTTTGTAATTTTAATCAACATTTTCAATATTTTCCAGCAAAAATAAATAAATAGGAAGCACACTTATTGTTTAAAAATAAAGTTATAGAACATATTCTAATGCAATTTAAATTGAGAATTTATTTTTAATTTTGTAAACGCAAGGCAAATTTATTTGATTTGATAGAAGTTGGCTATCTCTTAAACTTGTAATAGTTTCCAAATTTTTTTGAGTGTAAAAATAAAAGATATGTGCTGTGCAGAGTGAAAAAAACAACTCAAAGCCAGAGGGGAGTTTCAAACATAATGGGAGGAGTTCAGGTGCAACTTTCAGCTTGAAAATCGATGTAGGTCAGCAATAGATTCCGATTCCCATTACTGTGGAATTTTGCCTTTTTTTATCTAGATCGAACTTGGCTCGGCCACTAATTACACCACTTTCTATGGCCTGCGATGGAGATTATCTCGACTGAAACTAACAATTTTTTCGAATTTCTTATCTTACGCACAGTGTGCCCATCTTCAAAGACCTGGCGGATGACACGCTCATCAAGATCTCCGATGTTTTGGAGGAGACGCACTACCAGCGAGGCGATTATATTGTGCGCCAAGGTGCCAGAGGAGATACCTTCTTCATCATTTCAAAGGGCAAAGTGCGAGTGACGATCAAACAGCAGGACACTCAGGAGGAGAAGTTCATACGCATGCTGGGCAAAGGTGATTTCTTTGGAGAAAAGGCTCTCCAGGGGTAAGTTATACACTGCAAACTCTTCATCGTAAATCCCGAACTAATTAAAACTAATTATTTCCATAGCGATGATCTGCGCACGGCGAATATTATTTGCGAATCGGCGGATGGCGTCAGTTGTCTGGTCATCGATCGCGAGACCTTCAATCAGTTGATTTCCAATCTGGACGAGATCAAGCATCGCTACGACGACGAGGGAGCCATGGAGCGCAGAAAGTAAGCGTATAATTAAAAGCAAAACATGAATCAAGATTAGCAATGAGGAATTGAGACAACCTATAATGAAGGTCAATGAACTAGCTCGAAATCGACAAAAAAAACCTATTTACACATGTCGAGTTGTATAATTATTTGATAGTCCAGTGATCACGATGACGAAATATTTTGACTCTAACTAGTAGTTACTCAAAAATTATTTAAACAGTTTAAGTGCTTTCAACTATAATTAATTGATATTCAAGTGATCGCAATACAAAATAATCTTAATTAATTTGACTTTAACAAGTAGTTGCTAAACAAATCTTGAATTAAAAAATATTTATTGAGTTTTAAGTGACTAATTGAAATTTGTTTTAAACGAAATGTTAGTTTTTTGTGAATAATTAAGTGCTAAGTGATAATTTGATTTTCACTAGTAGTTTAGTAGCATTTGTATAAATATAACCTAACATCCTTAATAAAAATTATATTTGATTGAAATGTTGATTAATGTAAAGTCTTGAAGACGAAATAATTGAACTCTATATATGAGAAGATTGACATCTAGGCATATTTTTATTAGTTTTTTGTGATGAAGCTGTAATGTTAATTTGTTAAGAACTCATTGGTATTTTTATTTTGTTTATATTGACATGTCGAATCAAATTATTTTATCTTGTTCAAGAACATGTATAAAAATTTCTCAACATAAATTCAATTCAAGTGAAATATTAATATTGTTAAATGTTAAATTTGTTAAGCGGTTATGGATGTTTAATATTTTGTATATTGACTTGTTGAATCACATTCTTTTATGGCTTCTTTAACTCATCTTGATTATAAACCTTTTATTTCGAATCGAGTACCTAACCGTCTAATTGATTTTCTAGGATCAACGAGGAATTCCGGGACATCAACCTCACCGATCTGCGCGTTATCGCCACTCTGGGAGTGGGTGGCTTTGGTCGCGTGGAACTGGTGCAAGCCAATGGCGATGGCTCCAGGTCCTTTGCCCTCAAGCAGATGAAGAAGTCACAGATTGTGGAGACGCGACAGCAGCAGCATATCATGTCCGAAAAGGAGATCATGGGCGAGGCCAACTGCCAGTTCATTGTGAAACTGTTCAAGACCTTCAAGGACAAGAAGTACCTGTACATGCTGATGGAAAGCTGTCTGGGCGGCGAACTCTGGACGATCCTGCGGGACAAGGGCAACTTCGATGACAGCACCACCCGCTTCTACACAGCGTGTGTGGTGGAGGCCTTTGACTACCTGCACTCGCGGAACATCATCTATCGAGATCTGAAACCGGAGAACCTGCTGCTAAACGAACGCGGATATGTGAAGCTCGTGGACTTTGGCTTTGCCAAGAAACTGCAGACGGGCAGGAAAACGTGGACTTTCTGCGGCACCCCGGAGTATGTGGCTCCGGAGGTGATTCTCAACCGGGGTCACGACATCAGTGCGGATTACTGGTCGCTGGGAGTGCTCATGTTCGAGCTGCTTACCGGTGAGTGAGGGGAAAATGTAGAGGAAATAATTACCTAGAGAAGATTTGTATTTGATACACATATCTATATGTACAATAGGGTGCTCCAAATTTGTATGGCTTTTTGAAGGTCTTCCTTTCACCCGCTTATACATGCAAATTTATAAAATTTATTATTTACAAAACCACAGTGCGTATGCTTGATAAATCTGAAAGCCGATGCGTATGGCGTTTGAATTTATCAAGTATACGCACGGTTGTTTTGTTAATCTCCTTGTTGGGACTCTTACTTATGTTAATGACCAGTGCCTTAACAATAAGTTTATGCTTGTAGCGCTTAGATAAAATATTAAATTAAATTAAAAACTAAAAGATTTCTCTCCACAAAATACAAACTGGCCTACGTGTCGTATGAGTAATTTTTACGGAAATTTTGAGATCATTGCGCAACGCCTAGAACTTCAAATAAAATCTGTTGGTCTTTCGAATACATTTTTTGTGCACCAAAATTAACTATATTCGCTATATCCACCAAAATGTATAAAAGTACACTTATAACATATAATCAACGCATCGTCAGTTTCAGTTGAATAACACCATTAACATTTATCTCCATTGAATTAGTTGTAATCTGATATCTTTAGTTAAGTCTGGTGGCACCAAAGGCCCTAATCAGTTTCAATTGTAGAAAAACTATAAATTACTTCATATAATTACCAATAATAATCTCGTTAATTTATAATTCTAGGTACCCCTCCATTTACGGGTTCGGATCCCATGCGCACCTACAACATCATACTTAAGGGCATCGATGCCATTGAATTCCCCAGGAATATCACGCGTAACGCCAGCAATCTGATTAAGAAGCTGTGTAGGGATAATCCTGCCGAGCGTTTGGGCTACCAGCGTGGGGGAATTAGCGAGATACAGAAGCACAAGTAAGAAAGATTTCCCCTAAAAGAATATTAAATTCAAACTAATTTGTTGATCTTTTTCACCCCAAACAGATGGTTTGATGGCTTCTACTGGTGGGGTCTGCAAAACTGCACTCTGGAACCGCCCATTAAGCCGGCCGTGAAAAGCGTGGTGGATACCACGAACTTTGATGATTATCCACCCGATCCGGAGGGTCCTCCACCAGATGATGTTACCGGATGGGACAAGGACTTTTAGGCCTCGTTTCCTAGACGATCGATGCTCTCTAAACGCTTCTGCTACAGAACACAGAATACCGGAGGAGAAGACAAACAAAGGAGGAGAAATTGATCTAAAGTGCGCCATATGTACGCCAAAGCCAACAGCAAACAGTCAGCAGCAACGCATCGAAAAGCTGCCAAAAAACACTAAGAAAAGAAAGGTAGCAGTCGCAAGGCCAAGGGCCGACACAAAAAAAGCACAATTATCCATCGTCTTAGCCCTTTTAGATTTTAGATTTATGATGTGTTATATATATATATACCCCCCCATGATGTGCAACGCAATGAATTTATTAACGAGTTTATAACTATTATTTTGTAATGAGGATATGTACCGTCTAGTTCGTTTGGAATTGTATGATGTAAGTTGTAGGTAGAGCTCTGTTAGCCATGTGCATTGTATAAATTCTATTTCTATTTGTATCTATTAAATATTATTAACATAATTATTAAACATCATTGTTAATGTATCAAAGCACGCACGAAACTGCATACAAATACAAATCGGGTTGCCTTATAGTCTGTAAGAACATTTTTAAAAGCAACATCTGACCAAGATCTTCCGTCATTCACCGTTTAAAAAAAAATCATTTGTTAAATTTCTATCTAGCCTCTCTTCTATATTTCATTAGTCTGTAGCAATCATGTCTATTATTTTTACGAAAAATACGCCCTTTTTAATTGTCTTTTTTAAGTAAATCAGTTAGACATTGAATAAACAAATTTTTGCGATGAATTTGTGTTCTTTTTTATTTGATTTTTATCGTTTAAATTATTTATAGATTAGATAAAATGGAGTACCTAACATTACGTCATTCAAAGAACATATTGTAATTTATTTAAGTGCAAAACGAAATGCACAATGTGTAACACCACTCAAATTGACCTTAACCAAGGTACTTCCTATATTGGTGATTCTCTTTGGCACACGTTTTCACTCGATGCTTGAAAAGTGCAGTGGAAAATATGCAATAAAAAGAGGAAACGCTGAAATGGAAACAAAGTTGGCCAAAAAACAAAGAACCAAAACCCAACTACGTGCCAAACGGAAGAAGAAACGAATTCGTCAGACAGAGAAAGCTGAGAAACATCTGTCAAAATGCAAGACACATTAAATGAGAACATTCTGTGCCCGACGTTAGTGCAGATCGCAACGGAAAACTGAAGCTCCATAGCCAAAAAAAAACCGAAAGTGGTTATATACTCCGGAATTTGTACGTCTTGTTTACTATATATTTATGAATTGATCATAATGGCCTTGACTTCGAGCTGGAGGCAACTTTGGCTTATTTTGCTTTTGGCCGTGGGAATCGCCTTGGGGCTTCCGAGCTTGGAAAATCATACGCACGATCAAATCGAACAGGTCATAGGTGAGTTAAAATTAAAATAAAATTAAATACTAACTTACGAGTGGAAAGTTTCAGTATTCCTATAATTTAATCTAAAACCAAGATATGCTGCAGCGAAAAAAAGTAGAATCAAACTCATCTTGGAAATTATTAGTGAAATATATAAAAAAAATATTTTTTTTTAAAATTTTTTTTTTTTAATTTTTTAAGGAATAAATAATGAGTGGCAAGGTTATACACCATTTTAATTGATTTCAAAACCCAGATACCATTTAAATTTCTTTAAAAACTTTATTAGTTTCATTTGTCAAGGATTAAATTACGATTGCATAGTTCAGACACGTTTTTAATTGATTTTAAAACCATATGTGATATATAAAGTAGAACAAAAATCATCTTGGAAAAGATTATAAAATTAAAAACAAATATTTTTTAAACAATTTAATTTGTCAAGGTTAAACCTACGAGTCGAAAGTTCGGCACATTTTAAATTTATTTAAATGGCGTGATATGTGACTACCCACGACAATGTCAAATTAATCCTAGTTTTATTATAGAAAAACGAAAAATATATTCTTTTTTAAACATTTTATATTATTATTTATTTTAAAACTTAAAAACTGAATCTCATTTTGTAATTTTTCCAGCCTGCAGACAGCCCAAGGCACCTGGCTTGTGCCGAGGACGCCAATTGCGATATGCGTACAACAAAAAGACGGGAAACTGTGAGAGCTTCTACTACACGGGCTGTGCCTCCACTGAGAATAATTTCCTGACCTACGAGGAGTGTCGCAGGGACTGCATGCAACGTCTGCGCTACTGAAAATCCGCTTAAACTATGCTTAATATATATATATATTTATTGTTACAACAAAATTGTCAAGTAATTTAGTAGTAGACTCGTGAGGCTCTTAAGATCTCTTTGGCTTTTTGCCAAGTTTCTGTTTGGCCGATGTAGCTGGGTATCTGCTGCAAAAGTAGCTCAAGATTATGATCAGAAAAACTATGGGGATCAAAATCAGAGCTATACTATCCAGTGAGTGGTAGATAAATCCATTAAGTTCAATGCCTGGCGATTGCAGAAGTTTGGCAGAAACTAAACCATTTTGGATCACATGTTCCACAGACCAAATGGCCAATTCGAGGGGAGTATTCTGACGTTGATTAAAGATCTTGGAGATCTGGAGAGAACGTTGGATGTAACTGAAAAATAATGGCATTTAATTTAAAGAGCTTTGTTTATAACAAATGTATCTAAGATCTACCTTTCTTTTCTCAGCTCAGTAAAAGCTTTCCTAAGGTTTGCTATGGTGATATCTTCATAATCCAACTTAAGACCCATTCCACGATTTTGCACAGAAAATGCATTTAGAAATTGGTCTCCATAAATTGGAGTGACTAGCATGGGCTTGCCGCAATGCACAGATTCCGTAGTTCCAAGTAAACCACCATGACTCCAGAACAACTTTACTTTGGGATGACCTAAAATAGAATTGGATTTGAGAACTTAAAATTCAAATAGCCCTTAACCGGTTTATGTGTTAATAAACCAGTTAGGTCTGCTGGAATTTTTGGTTATTTTGTAAACGAATTTGGCTGATTTTTATGTAATTAGTAGACAATAATAAATATAGTTTTTTTGGTTTTCAAATTCGGTCCCTTGTTTTTGTAATTATAAATAAATTTAATAAATTAAAAAACCATAGTCATTACTCACAAAGAACGGCCAACTGTGGAGCCCATTTGATAAATAGGAATTTTGAGGGGTCTGTTTTTGGAGCCTCATCTGCCTCCCATTTCCAAATGACCTTTAAGGGCTGATTTTGGAGAACTTCCAGTATGGCTTTAAGTTTATCTTCATCGATGCTTGAGGCCCGAACCATGGATCCCCAGCTTATGAAGATAACTCCCTCGCTTGATTGACTGAGAAAGTTAGTGATGTTCTCTGGCAATTCCTTTTCTGCCTGCTTAGTTATATGAACTCCGCCAATTTCCACAAACTGCAGTGATTGTGGACGACTGCCCATCAGCGAATAATGTTGATTTCCGAAAATAAAAGCAGTTTGGGTGCGAGCTACTTGCTCCACATCTATTTTCACACCGAGATACTTTCGTATCAACTCATTGTCAGCTGCATTCGAGTGGTATTTGTAGAGGAACTTTAATAGTTTGGCTTGCATAAAGTTAAGTAAACGCTCATGCCATTTCAGTTGCCCGGCAAAACCCACAAATTCCGACTGGATAAAGGCTGGCGTATCGGGCAGATCAATGCGATCATAGTAGTAGGGCATCAGAGCACAAGTACTAAGGCCAATAATTGGCAGCTCCATTAACTTGGCCAAGGCCAGTTGGCAATCGGAATTGAAATATTCGGTTAGTAGCAGATCGTAGGGCTTAATTTTGTGTCTTTCCAAGACCTTTTCAATGTGTCCACTGGCGAAGAGGTGCTCACAGGTCTCCTGACCCTCATCATGCAGGGCTATGTACTCCCGAATGAGTACAAACAGTGATCTTGTGGGTGTATTTTCCGTCAGGGGAACCAAATTGATCGTAGTACTCGACTGATCCTCGCCAGGTGCCGATATCAATAGTTCCTCGTAGTTGGGATAGCCATGTGCCTGTGGATTCTTCACATACGAGATCACAGTGATGTCATGTCCACGATTCGCCAGCTCATTTAGTATGGGCATCACCACTTTAAAGTGGCTGAAACCAAAGTGCGGATAAACGGCCAGAACATTACCAGCATATAACCGCTGGGGCATGCCCAGAATCCATAGAATTCCAATCAACACTCCGCTGCTCAACGACGTGGTCATCGTTCCGTACTTTTCCACCGAATGAATCGGTTACCCAACTCTCACATCCGATAACCTTATCTGCCATTGAGCAGAGCACATTCAATAGCATTGCTTACTTTTAGTTAATCAAAGTGTTTGTTGTGGTTTCTGATTGGAGAGTGCAGTTCCCAAACAATGCACTTGCTCGGCTTCCCAATTGGAACTGCTATCGATAGTGCAAGTACCGTATATCGATGGTGTAAGCTAAACAAGAGTTAACTTTCGTTTACAGAATGCTTTTACTGTTGCATACTTTTGGGATGGAAACTTTTTCAGGAAAAAATGATTGATGATGTTTTTTCATATTTGGACTATCAATTTATTGTTATGGCCAAAATAGTTTACTATTCAAAATTCAAACTATAGTCTTGTAGTTTGTCTTGATTAAACCAAAAGCAGCACATTTAATTCCATAACTTTTCTTACAGACATCCGATTTGGAGAAGACTTAATTCTGGAGGTTTTTGGATTCGTTTCCCATAAATCTGCGTTTAAATGTTGGTTTGTGATTTCGGGTCGATTTTCTTGAAATTTTGATGATGGTACCCCTTTCAATTTTTCCCAAAAATGGATGTTTGTCGAAAAATGACCTAAACCTAGAACCTTTAATTGCATAACTTCTCTCTCAGAAATCAGATTTTAAAAAGGCATGCCTCCTTAGCTTTGTGGTTTAATGTTCTAAGATTCTGTATTCAAATTTCAGTCTTGTATTTTGTGTTGATTTTCTAAGCGATTTAATGAAATTTAAATTAAAAAAAAGCCTTGCAGAAAAGTGAACCAAGACCAGCACATTTAATTCCATAACTTGTCTTACAGTTATCCGATTTGAAAAAGACTTAATTCTGACGGTTTTTGGATTAGTTTCCCATAAATCTGCATTTAAAGGTTTGCATGTAGTTTCGGGTCGATTTTCTTGAAATTTTGATGATGGTACCCCTTTCAATTTTTCCCAAAAATGGATGTTTGTCGAAAAATGACCTAAACCTAGAACCTTTAATTGCATAACTTCTCTCTCAGAAATCAGATTTTAAAAAGGCATGCCTCCTTAGCTTTGTGGTTTAATGTTCTAAGATTCTGTATTCAAATTTCAGTCTTGTATTTTGTGTTAATTTTCTAAGCGATTTAATGAAATTTAAATAAAAAAAAGCCTTGCAGAAAAGTGAACCAAGACCAGCACATTTAATTCCATAACTTTTCTTACAGACATCCGATTTGGAGAAGACTTAATTCTGGAGGTTTTTGGATTAGTTTCCCATAAATCTGCGTTTAAATGTTGGTTTGTGATTTCGGGTCGATTTTCTTGAAATTTTGATGATGGTACCCCTTTCAATTTTTCCCAAAAATGGATGTTTGTCGAAAAATGACCTAAACCTAGTTCCTTTAATTGCATAACTTCTCTCTCAGAAATCAGATTTTAAAAAGGCATACCTCCTTAGCTTTGTGGTTTAATGTTCTAAGATTTTGCATTCAAATTACAGTCTTATATTTAGTGTTGATTTTTTAAGCGATTTAATTAAACTTAAATTTTTTAAAAAAGGCTTACATAATATTAATACTGTTATGTAAAACTAACAAATTATTTGTTGTCTGATTTAAAAATATTAAATTTCTTGTTTTGTATAAGGGTTAGTTTCAAGATTTGAATGCCAGTTTTTTGATTTATTTTTGCCAATATTTGTATTGTTTTCGAATTTTTGAAAACGGCAAGGTGGTGCAGCAACAAACGCGTTAGCGTCTCCAAGTGTTTTGGGTCCGCGCTGTCAACCATAGGATGAACCCTCGTTGGTCGCAAAAAAGTAGGCAACGGTTTGGTGAAATCACTAAGCCTAGTCATTATTAATCGCGCTGCCAACCATCTGCCTTTAAAACTCGCTACTCCTCAAAAGTATGCTACAAAATGCATAAATATTGCATGCACTTAGATACCATTTAATTCAAATTAATCATTTCATTTTTATGTTTCAATTGGTCAATCATAAAACATTTTAAATATCTGGTAATAAAGAGTTAAAACTAACTATTAAATCATTGAACTTATCTTTATATGATCCCTTCTCAATAAAATGTATATATATTGATATTTATAAAATCACTTCTGATTGAGCTTGTACCCAAAATCATAAATTACTGTCAACAATACTTTGAATTGTAAGTCAACTGGTTCATTATGAATTTAACTAAAAGTAATATATTTTCGATCAGTTAAAGTTTTTAATTTAATAATATTATGTATTAAAAAATACAATATTTTATAAAAATTAGTTCAATCAAGATTTTAAAATAATGGAATCGATCTTTATCTAATTACTACTAATTAAGCGTTTATCCAAAATGGTAAATTGCTCGGGATTTAATTATGCATTTTGAAATCAATACAAGTGTTAGCAATAGTCAACTGTCTTAGATTTGATTGCAAAAGGGCCTCAAGATATTCGACTGGACAATTGAATTGCGATGGCGATGCGGAAACACGCCCTCAAAACACAGCGATAATGGACAGTAGTAAGCGTTAATTGAACCGCAAGCCATGTGAAACGATAATAAATGCAATTGCCAGTCGAAATACAGCCAAGGGATCCCAAGAACACTCGCCCAGAGATACAGATACAGATACATTTACAGATACCGATACAGATACGGATACATTTGGCAGCTGCTGCAGCTGGGTGTCTGTCAAGTGCACTTTGCACTTTGAGCTGCGGTCGTCGGTCGCTGGTTTTTGGCTGTGGATTGGGGATTGGCCATTGGGTTCTGGTCGCTGGTTTCACCGGGTCCGGCTGACATGACCACCAGATTAGTGGCAGTAATTTGAAGTGCCTGGCCCTGCCCAGAAATGCACTCAGAGAAATTGTCCAAAGACTATTAAATTCTTACAATTTTGATTTTCAATTATTTCATGTTTGTCTAGAAGGAAGGACGTAGGTTTTTAAAATATGGTGTTATGTGAATGCATAATATCTTAAGAATTTCCAGTCGATCAGGGCAAAATTAACAAAGTTGTGGCTTTTGCTTTTTTGATTTTTTTTTCTATTGTAA